AAATGTAATATTATTGCATGTTTGCTGTGTGAACTTGTAAGGGGTCACTTGTACATCTATTACAACTGCCCCTAACTGCCCTATACTAATCATAAATAATATCGATTCAAAACTGTATACGTCACTTCCTGTGGTAAAATGCTTGACATGTCTTCAGATTAAAAACTGCAGGTCTTTCTTTCAGGCAGCCAAATTACTTGAAAAGTCAACAAATAAAGACCAAAACGGAGCATTGGTAAAGAAGGTGAAAATTCTGGAACATCAGAGGACAGAGGTGAGAGTACAGAGAAAATACATTTCTGTTTCTGCTTCATACTCTAGTTGTTGTACATTACGGTCTTGTCCTACCAGCAAGGACTATGCATGTTGATTGGAAGAACTGGAGTGTAGCCAGTGAGAAGTTTTGTGTTTCAGCGATTTCAGATGCTCACTAAGGCCTCATTCTTAGCTGCGTATGGAGCCGTATATTTGCGTAGCGTAAAATTGAGCTAAGACAGAATGGAACCGAGATGCGTCCGGGCAGCGTATTCTGCGTGTTTGCGCGCATATACTCACGTACGCGCGTACAGTTCATTAACATTTCTATTACGAATGATGCATTGTGGGATTGCAAATTATTATACGGGATTTATATAGCGCCAACAGTTTGTGCAGCGCTTTACAATATAAGGAAGACTTTACAATCATAATACAATTCAAGACAAGATGGTAAAGAGAGCACTGCCCCTGAGGGCTTACAATCTAAAAGGGAGTGCACGCATATACACACATACGCTCGTATACACGCGCATTATACGAGCATGTACACGTATATACACAATGTACAATTTTGCTCTTGCGTTGTGTGTGAATGAGGCCTAAACGGTTGATTTTCTGCAGCTTTTGGATCAAGCTACAAATTTGTCAACTACAGTAGCTGATCATGTTGTCCACTGCAGCTGCTGTTGGCCCTTAGCTGGTAACAAATTGTAGCTTCATAGCAACTACTGAAAAAAGCAAAAAGATCTGTAGCCACTACAAATCTCTGCTACAAAGTTGCATGTATGGCATTGCCCTTTTCCCCACCCACGCTATAGTGCCCTGGTGGCTGCGAAACTCTTAAAGGATAAAGCTAGGTACACATTAGTAGGTTTTTTTTTCAGTTTTCAGGCTGAATGAAAAAAGTCTAACAGCTTCCTCTATCCATGCTAAACAGTGCGGATGAAGAAATCTCGCGCTGCAGCTATTGTAATCTGAGAGTCTATTGTAATATCTGAACAGTGCCTGTATCTGAGTGAGTGGATGTGGGTGCTGTTCGCCCCACAATTTTCCACCTGTCTTCTATTTTTCAAAAGGAACGTCGTGTGGGAGGTGGCTGACAGCTGAAACAAGCTCATTGGGTAGCCAGCTTTATACAATTATCCTTAAAATGTTCCCCCGGCCCCAGTGCCTTTTTTTTCACCTGTTGAGAATCCTTGCAGATTTACACATTGTATACACATGTGACCCATGGAGAACACAGCTGCCCCTGGAAACTCTTTTGGCCAGTCCCAAAGTCTTATCCCACTTGCAGACAAAATCTCATTCATTTCTATGGAGAGGCCGTCTATCATTTGACCCAGTGATAGACAACCTCTCCATAGGAATGAATGGGATTTGTCTGCTCATGCTCGGAAGGCTTAGTATGGGACAGGAGAGTTTTCAGCAGCAGATGTGCAGTACCCTGTGAACTAAAGAACGTGGATCTGCCAGGATCGTAAACGGGTGACCATAAAACCTTGTGGTGGGGTAGTCATTTAAAGAATAATTTTATGAAAGTTAAAAGTGTGTGTTCTAGTAAAATTAATCCTCAAACATATTTTGGACATGGACTACTACTGAGGTGATATTTTACAAACATATTGAAGCAATGAAGAACAATTGTGGTTTGGGCAGCCTGTGCTGTGATCACCACATCTGTATTAGTTTCAGGGAAGATTCAACTTACACTGCAATTTTTGTTAGCTTGGAAAGCGGAGCTCGCTGCGTCATCTCATCTGATGAATGACCTGAGTTTATGCCTGGATTTTATCCTCAATCAGCTAGATGTAATCTAAAGATGTAGGCTTACTTGATAAATGTTTTCTTACAGCTCCTGGAAGTAAATAAGCAATGGGATCAGCAGTTCCGCTCTATGAAGATGCAATATGAAGAGAAGGTAACATATTGTTTCTAGTTATGTTGTTGTGAGCTATGTAAAGCAAAGGGTAATTCATCTGTAGGGAGGTAATGTAACATAATTTTACTCAGAATAATACATTTGGGTCCAGAGTTGAATTACTGCTGTACAGCATAGATACAGCCTAATACTTTAGAGCCAGTTATTCCCAGCAGTGTATGTAAACCATGGCTCCTATAGAGTAGGGCAGCCTTTCTCTATATTTTTACCCAGGAGGTACCCTTGAATTATTTTTTAGGTCTCAGGGAACCCCTGCTAAGAATAATATATACTACTCACGGTACAATAGCAAAACCAGTATGTTCCAGATATTGTAATACATAAAAGAAAAAAGGGGCATACCTAGAGTATGCGACACCCAAGGTGGATCATTTTTTAACAACCCCCTGCTCTACATGATAAAATACTTTGCAGTAATAACTCATCATCATAATCATAAATTACCAAAATGGCGTGAAAAGAAGCTCAAATGGACCCCTCCTTACATTGGCATTCAGACAAGGGTCCACTTACATTGGTGGTCAGTATAAAATTGACTCCTTACATTATGTTCAGCAAGAAAGGTCTCCCCTCATATCTATGTTCAGTTAAAGGCTGAATGCCTCTTACATTGGAGGTCAGTGGAAAGAATGTCCTATTTTATTTGGGGTAAGTAGGAAGAATGCAACTTAAAGTGGTAATCGGAATGCAAACCTTACAGACAGCCAGAAAGATTATTGGCATCATGTTGCTGCCTCTGCCAAGTGGTGATAACCCTGGAACTATGCAGTCAACATCAGATGGGAGGTCAGCCATACAGCTACGCAAGGACTCCCTAGAAAACTCTGGCGGAACCCTGACTGAGAATGGCTGGAATAGGGGTTGGATACCAATGAGAGAGTATAATACAGAATGCTATGGCAAGAAGGGACTGAGTATATATAGCTAATGTGAAACAGTAGGGATTCCTATGAGGGGCACTTTGATGTATTAGAATAGCTATAATGTGACCTGCACCTTGCTGTGCTGACAAACACCTTACATAGGTCTGAGAAACTAAAGACAGATGACTTGGGTATATAATTGTTATTGACAGTTATTCTTATTTCCATATATTTAATATAGGCTGGGAGTTTGTTTTTTTTAAATTTGGGCAAGTTCTTAAAAAGAATAGTGTCTTATTCTCACTATATCATTCTTATATTGGTCTGCACAGATCACATCCCTGCGTCAGAAGTTGTCTCAGGCCACCAAGAATGAGAGTGAACAGGAAGCAGAAAGAGACCGCAAGCAGAGAGATTTTGACCGCAAGCTCCTTCTTGCTAGGGACAAATTGGAGGAGAAAGAGGTAAGATACAACGCATCAAAATGAATTTCATGATTATCATAAATTTAGTAAGTTCCTCACTGGGGGAAACATAGCTAATTCAAAATGAGATACGTTCCTCTATTTATTTCTGTAATGTAGAAGTCTATTTATTTATGAAAATGTGGCACCAGCAGGAGTGATACTCCATCACCGTGTACCTGACAGATTCATTTGCAGTGACATTTGTGCTTGGTGTTCACAACCAGTGCTTGCATCTGTTACATATTTGCATTATGAGTGCAGAGCCATATATACCTGCATGACCAGGAGTTTTACCAAGCACAACTATGTCTGTCGATTCTACTGATCCCATCTAAACAGAAGCTAATTCAGAGGAGGTTTGTGGAGTGCAGACTAACCACATGGAACTTCCAAAACCGAAGTACCATTCATTTATTTAGATCAAGTCATTAAAATACAAATCACTCCCTGTACCTGAAGAAAGTTGGGAAATGATGTCCTGACCGCAGTGTGTGAATGGTATTATTATTTTCTTTTATGCAATAATGTGAACATACTGTTTTTTTCTTTTCACAGGCACAAATCCAGAAGCTGGAGTCTGACATAAGAGATCTGAAGCAAAAGAATAAGTTTCTCCATGACCAGCTGAGCTCCACCAGCAAGCAACGAGAGTACCATGAGCGGGAGATCAGCCGACTGAATAAAGTAAACTGACAATAGATACTAATAGCCCATTCAGACTTGTCTGTTGGACAGTGGTACCTTATTGCACACTTGTTGATGTGCGGCATTTCATGTGTTACCATGCGTTGCGTTAAGGCAGCCCATGCACAATTTTTGAACACAATATCTGCCCAATATATTCTTATGAAACATGCCTAAATATCATGTTCAATCTTAGTCAATAATTCAGGACATAGAGCAGTCCCCCATAGCAACTAATCTAATATCCGTTTAGTGTGATTAGTGAAAGATTATTTTAGCTTGGAAAGCGTTGATGAATTATGAATTATTTTGCTTGGGGGTTGATGAATTCTGCAAAGTTTTAATTTTAATTGTTCTTTGTCCTGCTCATTGGATAAACCCGATTAACTCCTAGTGCAACGACAGCTGATGAATGTTCTGAAATCTTTTATGTTGTTTGTAGGCCCTGGAGGAAGCTCTGAAACTTCGTGAGTTGGCTTCTCATTCTCCCTCAATCACTGCCTCTGCAGAGGACACTTGGTTTCTGCAACGCCAGGAACTCCTAACCCAGAATGACCTTCTCAAGCAACAGGTACTTATACAAATAGATTAAATCAGTGGAACCCCCAACACTGTGTGTTTTTTCTATAGCTGCATATGTCTCTGGAATGGAATCATCAACATTCAGCTTACAATATCATTATTTTCGGGTCGATCTGTCGTCTCTTGTTGCCTAAAGCCCAACTCTGGCCACATTAAAAAAACACAATTGAATGTCTATTGCTTGGCCACAGTTACACTTTTAATTAGGGATGTTCAGATACCAGTGCGGATACTTGGCATTTTCATGAGAACTGCCAGGGTTGCAGCGGTTGCAGCTAGGACCTGGCTCTAGTGCTCCACCACTGTCCTGAAATCATTAGTCTGTGTTGTTTTAGAAAAACTGTTACATGACACTAAACAAAAATGTATCAGTACTTGTATCTGTGAGTACTTGGACAAGTATCAGTATTTGTACTTGAAAAAATTGTAACGGTGCATTACTTATATACATTTATTAAAAAATCATACAATAAAACAGGGATGTACAAATCCCAGGAGCTCCGTGTGCTCCTTACAAATGACAGCTGCCTCCTAACATTTGAATTTTTCTCCAGTCTAGTCTTGGAGCTGGAAAAGTATCTGTACATTTACTTGTACCGAGTACGGTACTTGGTATCTGAACACTTAAACTTTAGCGCATATTTTACATTGCATACTTCACAAAACAGCAACTTGTACAAAATTCTGGTATGAATGTCATGCAAATATGTATTCAAAAATGAATGGGAATTTTTTAGCTTCAGTTTTTTGCCAAAACTTCCAATGAAACTTCCAATTGATTGATTGTGACTTGATGATTCATGACGGCTTAGAGTCGCATCTGCTGCTCTTCAGGCCCTGTAATCTTCCAGCATCTACAGGCTGAAATGGTCAGTCTGGCCAGGGAACTGTGTTCTGTTTGATATTGACTGATGTGTTTACTCCAAATATTTTCATCGTTAGTCATGCTCACAATTTTTTTTTTGAGCGATCTCAGTCTTGGCCAGTTTTTTGTTTACTAAAAACTATAGAAATTTGTTTCTGCAGACCTCACTAATGCATCCTTTCTTTCGGCCGGAGCTCAGAACTGTCGGAGAAGGAAGCCGAAGCTGACAGGAGCAGCTCTGCGGTCTGCATCTGATACAGATGCAGACCGTGGAGCTGCTCCCGTAAGTCAGGTACGCGATCTGCGATCGCGTGCCTGACATGTCAGCTGGCTGTGGGCCACATAGTACAGGCTCGCAGGCCGGAGTTGGTCCACGGAACGGTATTTGGAGACCCAAATTTCCACTCGCCCCCATTTTAATTTTGAGCCCCTCACTAGGCAAACGTCATTTATACAGCATTCCCTCCACTAGATGGAGCCAAGGAGCGTAGGAAATTCCTATGCTCCTTAGCGCCATCTAGTGCTGAGAATGCCATGTGAATGGTTGGGTGTAAGATTTTTTAATATACCCCCCAAAGTTTCATCCAGTTGGTTTTACATCTGCTTTAATCCCTCCTGCTTATTTAAATGAACATGTCCGCATTCAAGGCAGGGGGTGTTGTAGACCTCCATAAGTCAAAGTTAACATTAGAAAAGGTAATTATTTTGCAACATGGTGATTCTTCAGTGGGTCCCCTGTCCACATTCTCCATGTTGCTAGCCCATTTTTTTTCAGCCAATACAATAAACTTCGTTTTAAGATATTTTTTTCCCTTTTTACAATGAAATGTGTGTGTTCATTGTAAAAGTAAATGATTCCTCAATCCTTTTAGTCCATTAGGATTAAGAGGCACAGGGTCACCTTGGCAAAGATGGCAAGGCATAGTTATGTAATATAACTTGGCATGACCTATAACCGTTTATGACACAAAGGATTAACTATTAATGACATTCCCAGTTGTAGAGTTACTAGTAAAGAGCCAGTCCAACCACTTAGTAACTTAGTTAACAAAGCAAGCCGGAATTACAGCACTTTACATCCTCAACAGCTGGAATGTACAAATATTCAGAAGATGAACTCCATCCCTTTCTCTATACCATAACACAGTCATATGACACACTCCATAGGTCTACACCCTTCACCCATCCCCCTTCTATATACCATTATGCAGCCACACGAAGAACACGTCATGGAATATGGAAAGCTCTCTTATTACAAGAGAGGCATGTGTTCATTGTAAAAGTAAATAATCCAAAAGGACTAAAAGGATTGAGGAATCTGATATCTGTAGATAGCACTGAGAGGTCTTAAATAATATCCTCACTGACATACTACACAAATATTGTTTTGTACTTAAGTAGATCATCTTCCTGTTTCTGAATGTGGACCTTTAATCAGAACAACAATTGGAATGTTATATTTGTGTATTTGCTAAGCTTCACAAGGATTTCATGGTCTTTTCATTTTTTTATACAGTTGTTTATATGATGTAAATAATCTTATCAATTAATGCTTTTATGTAGAGTTGGCAAATGGCAGAATAGATGCTATAATGACTCAGACACAAGCCATAACTTAATAAAATTGAGTTTGCCAACACTGATTTTTTTTTCTTCTGTGCTAGCACTAATTATCAAAAACAAGTGACAATTTTTTTTTGTAATACTTGTTTGTACCCTTTTCATCCTTTTGTTGGACATTGGTGCTGCTATACTCATGCAGCATCAATGCAGCCACTTCCTGTGTTCATGTATGTAGTCCAGCGAGGCTTCATGGCATTTCTCAGGGTGGATTTCCTAAAGGGGTTAAAAAGGCCACATGTAGTCTCCATTGGAAGCCACACTGTGAGTGAATTGCATTCAGTGGGTCAGCCGCCTCATAGATTTGTATTTCAAGAAAGGTGTAAGCTCTTGGGGAGAAATGGGCTAAGGTTGATAGTCTCATGCTCCCTAAAGAACTGCACCAAAACAAGCCCATTTTTCACTGGAGAGTGGGTACCCCTATCTGTTCTCCATTATGTTCCACTCGGTTACGCACAATGTGACCCCAGCCTATTCATAAAATGCAGGTCATAGTGTAGAGTCTGCAGTGTCCCATGTAGTGCACCGTGATGAGTTTGACATGACCGGGCCCTTCTTCCGGCATTTTTATTTCAGCTCTCATTCTTTTCTTTAGAATCCCGAACCCAGCAGGGTGCTTTATAAAAGTGCAGACGTTTTTTTGTGTATTCATTTTTCCGCAGTAAGGCCAAACTGTTGCTATTTAATGGACCCCTTAGTACTATGTGTTCCTCATACACATACTCTATGTACGTAATCTCATGCTGACATATGCACGTATCTCTTACATACTATTTGCAACATTAAATACAAGGGTCACATTTACTTCTTACATCTTCTAACCTGCATTAGCAACATATAGGCAATAAATCTCAGCAGTGTCCTCAGTTCTTACATTCACTTTTTGTGTCCAGGTGACCATCTTTGAGGAAGACTTCAAGAGGGAGCGCAGTGACCGGGAACGTATGAATGAGGAAAAGGAGGAGCTGAAGAGACAGCTGGAACATCTTCAAGCACAACTGGCTCAGGCAAAAGCCCAGGTGATCTATATAGCTACAAGCCAAATACAGTTTATTCAGTTAGCAGACACCTGAAGCACTTATACCATTTAAAGGGTTAGTCCACCTATACTGATCAATTAGATGTACGTGCCTCTCAAAAAACTCCCCTGTGGCATCAACTGCCCTTTCTAAATTCTTAAACATATAGCACAGAGCATATAGAGTGAAATGCAGCTGGTTCTTAATGAGTTGCCATCAGCCTTCTGCCCGATATCCTTCAATCAGGAAATCCCTCTTTGTCTCTTTAAAAACAAGGCACTACAAGTACAGACCAATACTTGATGTGCCAGAAATCCAATGGGTTTCTTACTCTGGGCAAATCCAATGGGTTTGATCTGGCAACACTGTCTCTGTTGCACTGAAAACCCAAACAGTGGGTGGAATGCATGAAAACGGGAGCAGACAGAATCTGGAGCAGTTGCCCATGGCAACCAATCAGCTTCTCTCTTCAGTTTGTTCAGTTAAGCTTTGAAAATGAAAAAAAAAAGAAGCTGATTGGTTGGCATGGGCAACTGCTCTAGATTCTGTCTGCTCCAATTTACACCAGCAGAGTACGGGCATTAGACCATCAGTGACCAGTGTATGTGCATTAGCCTATCAGTAACCTGTCTTCAACATTCAAAGCATTAACCCCTTAGTGCCCAACTTCACCCAGGTGCATCTACTCCCTAGCGCCCATTCCCATGTTGTGCATATCTAATAGCTCCTCAACACCCATTCCTTAGCTTATGGGTTTTCTCTCCACAGTGCTCAGTCCCCAGGCTGTTAAGCTCCACAATCCTCTTCTGTATATACTGCTTGCTATCATACCTTCTGCACTCCTCTCCTGCACATACTGCCCTATGTTATACCCACCAATCTCCTCTCCTGCACATACTGCCCTATGGTATACCCACCACTCTCCTCTCCTGCACATACTGCCCTATGGTATACCCACTACTCTCCTCTCCTGCACACACTGCCTTATGGTATACCCACCACTCTCCTCTTCTGCACATACTGCCTTCTGTCACACCCTCTGTACTCCTCTCCTGCACATACTGCCCTATGGTATACCCACCACTCTCCTCTCCTGCACATACTGCCTGCTGTCACACCCTCTGTACTCCTCTCCCGCACAGACTGCCCTATGGTATACCCTCCACTCTCATCTCCTGCACATACTGCCTTCTGTCACACCCTCTGTACTTCTCTTCTGCACATACTGCCCTATGGTATACCCACCACTCTCCTCTCCTGCACATACTGCCTTCTGTCACACCCTCTATACTTCTCTCCTGCACATACTGCCCTATGGTATACCCACCACTTTCCTCTCCTGCACATACAGCCTGCTGTCACACCCTCTGTACTCCTCTTCCGCACATACTGCCCTATGGTATACCCACCACTCTCCTCTCCTGCACATACTGCCTGCTGTCACACCCTCTGTACTCCTCTCCTGCACATACTGCCTGCCATTATACTCTCCATACTACTCTCCTGTACATTCTAACCGCCATGACATTCCTTTAGCATTGTTTGTTATATCCCCAACTTTTCCCATTTAAATTGGAAACCTTAGTGATGGTGCACTTTGAAAATGTTTGATATTGGGGGTGGAAGACACATGGCTAAAAAAGATTACGTATAAACATCTTGCATAACTCTCTTTTCAGTTGCGCGCTTGCCAGGAGGATATGCGAAGGGAGAGAGAGGGTCCACGTGACATGACAAGGCAACAGGTAGATTGTTTATGCTGATATGTAAATAGAAGAAACCTGTGGGGATATCGGGGGCAATTATATTTATATATTACATATACAGGCTGTCTGCTGAGCAGAGTAGCACATCATCTGTGCTTTACTGTTCCACAGGGAGGCTGATCACACTTTCTGATACACAGGTACCTACAGAGGATCAATTTACAAAACTGTGTATGAGATACAATCATCAGCAATTAAAACTGCATGCATGTAAAAATATGAAAGTTCCATCAAAGGCTTAGTTCTCATTGTCCATCTTTGCCACAGGTTTACTTTAAAGTAAGAAGTGAGACACCGACACTCCAATTGCATTGTATTTATGCTGCATTTCTGTCAATAAACAGACGTTTATGATTTGCAATTGGAGTGCCGGTGTCTCCCTTCTTACTTTGATCGTGACAGTTGCCAGCCGTCAACAGCCGCAGCACCCTATTCTACTACTTGGAGAAAGCGGTTTTGAGTGCTATCGGTTCACTGACTGTATCCAGGTTTACTTTAAAGCCCAACTCTTGCCTATTTGTTCATTTTGGAGAGGGCCAGGACTCAGAACCTCTTTCAGGTTTTTATTCCCATTTGTTTCCTTGTTGGGGAGATTTCCCTTAATTTCCTGTCAGCACAGGACATGAAGGTAAATCTCTACAATGGGGGCTTAGACACATTTGAGTGAGGAAGGGTTAAAACGTATGTGTGTATTGCTGTCTGCACCTTTTTCTTCCTGCTGTACATCCCCATTTTTTTCTATTAGGGTCAGGAGGACAGGGAGTGAGGGAAAATGTCCCCAATGGGGTCACAATTGGCACTAAAAACATGATGGAGAATTTACCTTTTCCCTCTTTTGGCAGAAAAATGGCTGAAGTTGAGCCTTAAATTTATATGAAAGAACCACTTGCCTGTCCCTGGTCCAGCGAGATATCCCTCTTCTATGGCCTATAGGCTTGGAAGTACATAAGAAGAATGGCCAACAAGATTTTGTTAACAATCAGTCAGGCAGCACAGGTGAGTGTAAGACTGGGAGGGAGGATAGGGGCAGAGGGAGGTCTCATACAAGAGTAAGTGCACAAAAGGTGCTCCAAAGAAGAGGACCCTGTGGAGTCATGTGACCGGCCTTAAAACTTTGGCAAAGGTAAGTATAAATTTACAAATAAAAAAAGCATGCTGGGGTACCTCCATGGGAGGAGGGGAAGGGATAGGATTTGGGAGAAAATATGGATCTTGGAGTTGGGCTTTAACTTCTGCACCATTTTTGAATATAGTAACTGGTTAGAAGGAATGCTCGAAGTGCCATGAAAATGAAGGAAGACGGCATTAAATCTTTAATTATGTGGCATTTGTTTGAAAAGTTCAGGTTTTTAACTTCTAGGAAACATTACTTATAGGCAGTGTCAGCAGTTAATAAATGTTCACCTCCTTTTACTGACTTGAAACCGCGAACCCAAGTACCTGCTGACCTGGCATATTTGTGTCCTTTGAAACACCCCATGGAATGACCTAGGATATTTTTATTACTGTTGTAGTAAACCCAGCTTCTCTGTGACTCCGTTAATATTTTCTAGGATGTGCCCTATACAGTAACTAATGCTAACTGGAGGTAATCCTCGTAGCTTGTTGAGTTTTGTATCACCTCTTAAAGTGGACTGTCTGGAGTAGAAGTAGACATTTTGGTGGGTTTGGAAGGGAAAGCTCACTCAAAACCTCCCTGCTGAGGCTCCTACATGTTGGTTTTTGGCCTCTGAACATTGGAGCTGCTGTTCTTAGCACAGAAACAGATGTTTTTGGTGCATGAAGATTTTGTGATAAATGCCAGCATCTGTATTCACTGGAAAAAAAAGCAATGTAAGCCTATCCCACCACAGTCAAACTCCTACCTGGAGCAAGGAGGAGAATTCACAAAAATGACATATGTTTTGAAGGACAAGCCTCCTTACTTACATCAGAAACTTAGATACAAAGAGTAAAGAGCGAACGGCAAGCAGGTAAGAAACAAGTCCAAATGGCCAATCATCTATAAGGAGGGTACATTAAATGCCATTCCTTGGTAGACGAATTACCAAATGATTGGTGGCCATGGACTGGCAGTATGGCAACCAATGTCCAGTGAGTCTAAAAAGCAGCCAATCCATTGTCAGGGGGAGGGTCTGAGGGTGGGCCACTTATCCTCAAAACAGTAATTAAGCATCAATTAGCCTGCGCAAAACTATCAATTACACTTTCCCCTCTTGGCCCACTCAGCTGCGGCAGGGCATTCCTCGCTCCTTTTTTTTTTTTTTTATGTGTAGCTGCAGGGCAGGGAAAGCCCAGGCTGCAGCTGATTGGGCTGGGAGGAAGATGTGTCTCTGACAGTTTTGCTTGGGCGAACTCAGTTTGCACCAACCCCTAGCACATCCCTAGCTGGGTTTTCCTTGAGGGCTGGTTCACAACACAAACAATGCGTTTCGAGCGGTCAGCCTCTGGAACGCACTGTATTGCAAACCGGCCAGCTCCCTGCGTTCAGGGGCATGGCAGTGCATTGAAGTCAATGGCACCGTAGCCACGCCGTTGCCCGCAGTGTGATCACCCGAATGCGTGGTGCCTGCGTTCGGTTCCAGTGAGATCTGCAAAAATGCACTATTTTGCAGATTGCACTGGACTGGAATGCAGGCACTGATGTGCCATGTGTTTGGGTGTGGGCGATCGCACTGCAGGGAGGGGGTGTGACTGCGGTGCCATTGACTTCAATGCACCGACATGCCCGGTCCTGCCCCTGAACGCAGGGAGCCAACCGGGTTGTGATACAGTGGGGTTGATTTACTAACCTTATAAACACACCACGAACATGTATACACCTCTGTAGTGTGTTCCCTCCCAGCATGATCTATGGGTGGAATCTAAACACCTTTGTAGTGTGTACACACCCAGCAGGTGTGTTGTGCAAAGCCAAGCATGAATTGCAAGGTGATGTTGTGTAAATTAGCTCTATGTTGTGTTGCTTGCGTTGATGAATGCAGGAATGTAAATGCATGAGCTAACCATTTTTGTCTAAACTGTGAAGCAGCATTATATATGCATCATGTGCATGATTTTTCCATATATGGCATTAGTGGAAATATGCTTTTAGAGACTTTTTGGTTGATAAATACGTTTTGCTGTGTGAAAATCACACGCACCTAGTGCGTGCGTGTGTTTAGGTTAGTAAATCACCCCCAATGTGTTCCAGAGGCTGAAGCTCTGGAACACACTGTGATGTAAACCGGCCCTTAAAGGTGAACTATGGGGTTAAGGCTTTTCCCCATAGTTCTCCTTAGGGTAACGGGAGGACACAAACTAGCATCCTCCCGTCACCCTAGGCTCAGTATACCGCGAGCTGTAGCTCGGTGTATACTGAGACGCCGCAGCTGAAGCGGATCCCGACAATTATGCCGAGATCCGCCCAGCTGCGTGACTGACAGCTGGCTCTGCCTATCTAGAAGCAGAGCCAGCTGTACCCTCCCCCGTCCGTTCCACCAGTCAGCGCTGGCGGATCGGAGCGGGGAATCCAGCCCCTCCCCTGTCACGGCAGAGAGCCGTGACAGGATCGAGAGGTGAGCGAACGCCGGTATGTGTTCGCTCACCTCCCGATCTACTGAGCTGACCTGTGACAGTCTCATTGTCACAGGTCGGCTAGAACTATGAGGTAAGTGAAAGCACTCACCTCATAGTTCTCCTTTAAGCTAAAGCCATTGTGTTATCTGCTCAAACAGAAATTTAGGAACACAATGGATTCCTGGCAGATTAACAGGTATTTTTCTGAACTAGCAATGTTTGTAAAGGGTTAAAACATAGGTAATGGGCATGTATTGCAGAAAAGTACTGAATAATTGTTTTTGCCCTGATTTATACTTTAATTCCAATGCTTAATAACCCAGGTATTCTCCTATTGTTCTTTTCTATAAGGCAGCTTATTTTTAAAATGTACTGATCCTTTAGTTTTCCTTTACCATCATAATCGGATTCATTTAGCAGTCTTAGCAGCACAGTAAGGGCTCACACTCCCCTGCACAAAGATTTATTGACACAGAGTATGGAGTCAGTGAGTCATCGGCTCTGCGTCATCTTGGCTGCATTAATGAACTAGTACAGGGCTCAGCTGCAATTACACCTATGATGAATAGAGATTAATTGCCATTCAGCTTTGGTTAAGTAGAGGCTGTGCGCCAGAGTGTTTGTCCAAAGCTTAAATGTGGAATATATTTTTTGTGCTTTCATGAGCAAGGAAGCAAAGTGTTTTTAAAATCAAGTGGAAACTGAATTCATATATAACAAAATCACATGACATTGGTGTTTAGCACACAGTGTACATTTATCTATAGACATTGCTTGCACTGTGTTCAACTACACCTAAAATGCAAATCAGAGCTTAGAAATAGATGCACCATAAAAGTTCTGAGGTAAAAAAAAGGACACATACTAACATTCTAATCTACATTGCCCACTCGGCCCTTTGAAGTAAGTAAAATTATTATGTATTGTGTTCTGTTCTAAAAGGAGTGGACTCACCCTACTCCATTCTGCTGATTTCACCTCTGCATTGTACAGAATGAAGAAATCACACTTCTTGATATGTCATGTGATGTGGGATATCAGTGCTCCCTTCTTTCTTATACCTGGGCTAAAAGTTTATTTCTAGCCATTATCCCAATTTATCCACAAACCTCCCTCTATAGAGCATGTCCTAGCATTATTTTTCTCTTTTACCTTGTTCCTGTAGAAAGAAACGGCTTTTATTACTCCCTGTGATATCATCACCAAGCTTGTTAAATTCTTACACGGGCAGATACTGGGAGGTCATTTCCTATCAATGTAGGAATGCCTCCCAGAACTACATGTCTCAAGAGTCCTTTAGAGAAAGTGGGCTTCAAAATTCCTGGAAGTATGTTATTTCTTGGTCTGAGGGTACTGAGAAAATGGCAGGTTTGGAATACAGTTCACACAGGGAATGCAGAACATGTATTGAGCCAAGGCTGCCATTACGCTTTAAATGCAATCATATAAAATGATGGAATATTGTTTAAATATACTGTACTGTTTTAATAGCATCATAATGAAGGACCCTTCAGCTCCCAATTGGGGATGTTAGACACACTTGTTCTTCACTTTCCTGCTGTTCTGTTTGACCAATGTGAGCAAAGATTCAGTTCTTCAACATATGGGGGGTCAAAATACTCATGCCCCTGCTTCCCACATGACAGCACTAGCACCCAGATCTGTCACATGGGGGTAGTGAGAGAGTATTTAGTCCTGTGTCACATGGGGGTATTGAGAGAGTATTGAGAGAGTATTTAGTCCTGTGTAAGCTCCAGGTCGTGACACTGCTTTCTGTCTTTGTTCCTGGTGGGCAGGAAGGCTAAAGCAGGTTAACTGTGTACAGCTGGGGAGGGTGCCAGTTAAATGGACCTTGCATGGGTAAAGCACAGGTTCACTTTCACATTCTCAAACTGGAGCTGAAGGAAGCTTAAAGGATATGTGCACTTTAAAAAGAAGTACGCATATCCTTTAAAGCTACCTTCATTTCATTGCTGATCCTCAGTGCATCGGCCATGTAACTTCCCATAGGTTTCTAAGGGAAAATCTCCTAAATATTTCTTGTATATCAGATAGCGGCAAAAATTATGTTTTAAAGTTTAAACTTACTTAAAGTTTACACTTACACTCATCATTTAAAGGCTTCAGTAAAGCTGCCAAAAGCTTGCTGAAAGCTTTGCACATGTTTTGAAATGAACACACTGCTCTTTTACAAGGTAGAGCCTGTGAGCACAAGGCCAAGATGAGATGTTTGGGAATACAATAGCCCTATATTGTAATATTGTTTGGGGGTTTTTTTTAATGTGCAAAAGATTTGTTTCAGTAAAAGTTGCGAAAATAGTAATGTTTTGCTTTTATTGACTTCCTGGTTCAACTTTCAGGCCTTGGGAGAAAGATACAATCAAGATCCCCACACAGGACCTGCATGCCCGCCTTACCAATATCACCAATACCCATACAGCCCTCCTGCCTTAATTTACCAAGGCTTTGATGATTGGCAGATCTGCTACCCTCCTCAAAATGTTGCTCCAGAACACAGTCAAGTTCAAGACTTGCCTAATGCTCCTCCGGTGAGTTATCACAGTCGGCTTGTCTTAAATTCTAGGACCTTGGTACATCGATGTACACTAACTCTTACTCTGTTCACAGCCTGTGTATCAATGGAAAACTCCCAATGCCCCTCCGCGATCACATAAACCAAAGGAAGCAGAGATGCTAAACTCTAGAAAGAAGGAGCAAGGTGAGTGTTACATCAGACCTATATTTACTATTTGGCTGTATTTTAGTCCTGATCATCCACCAAGAAAAGGATAAATGGAAATGAAAGTAAAGTAGTATTAAGTAAGTAGTGTAAATAGACCTTTTGTGAACACATTGGTTCTCTCCCCAGCAGAGGGCCATGTATAAAGTAAGTTATTGACATTTCCCTTTATCCTTTTGAACAAACTATCTTCAATAAAAAGCAACAAGATATCATTTAAAGCCCAATGAAACCTTCAGTTTAAATCAACTAAAATACTTTCCTGGAGCATCAAGGCAAAAGACGTTTAATGTCTTACAGTTTGTTTTAGTTAAAAATCTGTTCCCTGCCAGCATGCTGCAGTGTGGGACTCTTGCTCTTTCCAGGGAAGCAATGATCTCTATGCAGAGGTCCAACATGCCCCCAACTGAGTCAGAGCTAGAGCTCTCCAATCAGCAAAGCTCATGCCCCCTACCGATTGGAGGGCTCTTGCTCTGATTCAGCATGGGGCGTGTCGGATCTCTGCAAAAAGACCATTGCTTCCACACACAGTGTAAGGGTCCCACTCTGCAGCATGCTGGCAGGGAACAGGCTTTTGTACTCAGGCTGTGTCTGCTTTTGAAAAAACAGAACTTTAGAAACAAACTTTGAGACTTTGCTGATCTCGTGTTTTAATGCACTTGGAATGTATTTAGCTGATTTCAATTTAAGGTTCAATTGAGGCTTTAAATATATCCCACCATCATCAGCACTACCACCTCCATCAGTTCCTCTACAGTGACATCATCATAAAAGGACAATAATATCAGTATATGTTCCAATTAGTTATAGGTCATTGCAGACATGTGACAAATCTCATAGCTTGCTGTTGTGTGCATGTTCTGGTTCCCTGATTGGCAGGACAGGGATATGTTTCAGTATTCTCCTGTATTCGGTCCAATGTTATAAATAGATTTTCATTGATTAGTATAGAATGGTCATTCTAATAATCTAATTGGCTGCTCACTCCTCCAGACTGCCATCTGCCTATCAAGGCATTTTGATTTTTGCATACCACCTTACAAGAACCAGCCAGGACTGAGGGCTCTTAAGAGGTGTACTGAGGCAGTGGTGTGATGTTTTCAGGAAGCTATGTACAGCACCTTGCCAGCCGCTTTCACCAGCCACAATCTGCTTGCATTGGAATTGAGAAGCACAGAGACCGAGTGGTGACATAACTGGGTGTAAAATAAGTTAATAAGAACAGAAAGGTTTATTTAATTTAGCATGCTAAAAAGGGGCGAGGGAGGACCCTGGAAAGGTAAAATATGAGTGGATTAAACTTCAGCTTCAAGTTAATTAATGTAGGCAACAGACACCGTCTTACAATTTCCCTCTATAGAGTTCCCTATATTTAACAGCCTTGTTACTTCCACTGTATTTAATTTTTTTTAAACTTTATTTGTTTTAGAGGCCGCCAAGCGAGGAACCCAAATTCCACAGAGACCAACCTGAGCGGGTACTATGAAGGCAACAACGTTTTGTGATTCACTTAGTGCTGGTACTGCCTCCTTTCTGCATGTGGCATCATTATATCCTTTTAGATGGTTCCTGAGCTTAGAGTGGTTGACATCTTTAGCACATGGTAGCAAGCAGGTGACTGGTCAGTCGTGATGGAATAAAGATGAAGTAATTAAAGATAACTTAATAAATTGGGTAACATCGTATGTAAACATTTTACTAGCCTATTCTTTCAGTTTAATCTCTGTATGATGATGTGGTCCAGTTAGGCTTACAGAATGACTGTATTAATATTTAATTTATCACTTGACATTCTATAATTTCGTGTGAATTATTTCAATTGAGTCTCTCAGTAAACATTATCACATTAATTATATGAAATTAGAACATTATTTCTGTCCTGTTTTTAGCCAAATACTATCAGTAACAGAGGTCATTTCAATTGGTGGCATATAATAAAATGTTTTGGAGGGCTGCATGCAGCAAACACATGGATATATTTTTGTAATCCTTCCTCCCTCTCAATTATTTTATCGTAAACAGAGTGTGGGCAGCCATTTTTAAGGAGGTGGCAGTCCCCCTATTCACCATGAGCTAGTGACATCTATGAGAGTGTAGTACATTGCTGTCATTGAACAGTATCTTGTAGTGTCTTCAGGGAGGAGTTTTCAGCAGCTCATATATGTAGTACTGTATGTGTAGTTTATATGACGGGTCCTCATGAAATACATTTTTATTTCTGTGTAATGAGACATGTTTGTTTCCCAAAATTTAGTTTAGCTCAAAAGCAAATAAGAGTTCTACTACAGAGGTGGAGTGACGTCTATTTAAGCTGCAGAAGCTTGACAACCTCCAGAGCTAGCACTTATGTAGAGAATATTGTCCAAAAATGACCAATAGTGAACATGAAGACAAGAAAAAAATTAGGCACATAATATATTTATGCATAGATCTAAATCCAAAGTAGGTATAGAGGCACTCACGGGTCTTGCAGTGGAGATAAGTCAAAGCAACAAGTATTTTATTGTCAACGCTTTGATGGAGCTCAGTCCATCTTTATTAAGACAGACTGATCTCTGTCAAAACATTAAAGGAGATCTATGAGGTGAGTGATTTACACTCATCCTCATTGTTAGAGCCGACGTGTTGCATTGAAACTGTTATATGTCGACTCTATAGATTGGGAAGTGAGCGAACACATATCGTCGCTCACTCACTTCCCAATCATCTCCCTGCAGAGAGCGGTGACTGTCAGTCACCACTCCCCGCAGGGATTTCCTCCCTCTCCGATCCCCCAGCACTGACTGGAGGAACGGACAGGGAAGGGGGTGGGCACAGCTGGCTCTGCCTCTAGATAGGCAGAGCCCACTGTCATATAAGCCAGCTGGCTGGATCTTGACAGTATTGTCAGGATCCATCCTGGATGCGGCGCTCTCAGTATATAGCGGGCAATAGCCCACTATATACTGATCTTTGGGACACAGGAGAACGTTAGTATATGTCCTCCCGTGACCCTAAAGAGAACTATGGGATAAAAAGGTTACCCCATAGTTCTCTTTTAACATACTATAACTTAGGGGCTTATCCACTAAGCTGCCGAGGGCAGCCAAGTGAATAACCGAGCCAAAGTGAACCGAGCGTTCGGCTATTAATTTCGGCCCTGTACGGCTGATTTCAGCCGAACATCAGATAAACTCAGCCGTACATCGGCTGGCTTCGGTCGCCCGAACGTGCTCAGTATGTTTGGCTGAGCCGAAGTGAAGAAGCCGTTTGAATCAGCCGATCCAACATCTGTATCGGCTGAGCCGAAGCTCCGGCAGTTCACTTGCTGCTGTTCGCCCCTATTCTCATAGGGGCTGAATGGCATTCGATTATTCTGCTCACTGCCTCTGAGGTAGTGAGCAGAATATTAAAAAGAAATGTAAACAAAAGAAAAAAAATATATAAAAAATGATTTTAAAAAATGTAAGAAAAAAAGCTAAAAAAAGAAGAAAAGGTAAAAGAAAGAAAACAAACCCCTATTAAAAAACAAATGTGTGGGGTTCCCCCCAAAAGTCATACCAGGCCCTATATGTCTTGTAAGAATTTTAAGGAGTAACTCCACCCCCTAAAATTCTAACCAGACCCATGATCCAAGCACAGGCCTGGCAGGAAAGGGAGGGAAGAGCGAGTGAGCGCCCTCCCTGCCATACCATGCCACATGCCCTCGGCACTGGGAGGGTGCTTCTCCAGGGTCCCCCCTGGAAAAGCACCTTGTCCCTGTGCCGATGGGGACAATAGCCTCTTCCCCACAAGCCCTGGAGCTTGCTGTTCGGCTGCTGTATGGGCTATTGTAAATAGCCCGTACAGCAGCCCTTCGTTTCAGCTGAACAGGAGGGCTCCGGCGTCCGAAGTGAGCCAAAGGATTAGTTGATGCTTCGGCTCCTTAGTGAATAACCCTCTATATTTTGGATCTTTAAGGATGTTTCCTTGCAAATGAGCACCTGGGCATTACCTCCCACATAACGTGCAGTGGCTACCCTTATAGCTAATTAGTGACTATGAAAAAGCTGCCATCTTTTTTAATTTTCTTCACCAATTACAAAAATGTAAGAATGATGATTACGATGTACTGCTTCAGAGAAGTGATTTGTGGTTGGAGCATGCAGGTGAGATATAGAATGGTGAGATACACACATTGGATATACAGTGGATTAGCATGAAACCGTGCTATTCAAGACAAAAAGAGGATCCTTGTATATTTAAAAATTCTAGACGGGAGGTAGACAGTTAGCTGTGCAACTAGAAGTCAAGGCTTGATAGTTCTTGAATGGAATGAACTAGAAGTCAAGGCTTGATAGTTCTTGAATGGAATGAACTACCTATCAAAGCTCTACCCTCAAGTCTCATTGCCTTAGATTAGTGATTAGGCAGTGGTGGAGCTATTTCATTGCGTTTGCAGGAAAGGCATTGCAGTAGATTTATGATGTATGTTCAGCTGGTAGGAGGGCCTGGGCCAGACCCAGAACACGATGTGGACTATATCTCCCAGTAGGCGTGGGAACAATCTAGAACTGTCAGGAAGTAACTAGATACCACAGGAAGTTACCTTCACTTGGACCAGCAAAGGAGGATTTAGCAGGCCCCAGTGTGACTGCTCCAGTCAATGAAGATTTAGGTTTTTGGACAGTAGGAAGTCTTCTTCCCTCTTCTTTCCCTTGAACTCTTGTCTGAGTAATAGACAGTTTTTTGGTAAAGCTTCATAATATATGTGCTGCCGCTGCTGACCGCTTCTAAAAATGATAGGCATCTATCTGGCGTGCTAATGATGTGGTTTTAATAGTTTGAGTCACTAAACCAGAAGAAGAATAACATTTTGACTTTTCATCATGAACTCAGCATCAGTCAGAAAGAATAAAGTGGAACAGGCAAAACTTATTTTGAAGGATTACATGGATATTACACAAAGGCACGAGTAGCTAACATATACCATCGCTGTGACTTTCGTTTGCATAGTTTACATCTGTGGCTGAGCTGTATTGGGCAGGACACAGCCAAGCAGCTAGCACTTTTTAGGCCAGCAATGACAACTATACCTGTCACAAGGGTAATATATGAGCTAAGACATGAATGGATGCCATTATATGATAGAGCATATCGGGTGATAATTGGTCGGTGTATGACACATGAAAGGTTGTATTGGAAGACTGGCCTTGCATGTGTTTGGGGAGGTTTTTTTTAAAATTCCTCTCTGATGAAATGAACGGCGATAACAAGTAATCTCTATTAGAACCAATGACTGTGCAGAATGCATGGAATAGTAGGTATGCAGGTGAATGGAGAGTGATTGGGGGGTCTGATTGTTCCATTTCACGTGATCAGATCCCTGTTTGTATATGGCCAGTTTTCTTGTCTTGTATGTGACCGTAGCTAACCGGTAAGTATTTGATGATGAAAGCATTCAGTAAAAAAGGAAGTTTAACAGATACAATAATATTGTGCAAGAAGGCAATATTCATCATTTTATGTGAAGAATGCTGTGGAGAAATATCATAACATATTTTGTAGATCCAGTTATTATAAACCTTTATGCACAATCTATCTTGTGTTTTATTTACCTTGCACACTGAGCTAAATTGCATGCAGTTTTCTATATTTTGTATATAGCAGGGGTAGCCAATCACAAATCATATGATACATTGCAAGACTCTGGCAGTAACAGGCATAACTCCAAGAGGCAAAGGCATGGTAGAATTTGTCGTTTCACCACAGCTGGAATGCTGAGGTTGCCTACCCTTGGGCCTTTTTCAAGCTGACTTAGTTGTCAAGGTGTCACGATCTGGGATCACGCTCGGAGTCCAGTAGCTGACACAGTCAGTAGGCAAAGGTATCAGGTTAGAAGTGTAGTTAGTGGATCAGCAGCCAAGGGTCAGTACACAAGTAGCAGTATAAGGATGTTGTATCGCAGCAGGAAGCAAGATATTGTCAGGAGCAAAGTAATCTGGCAAACAGGAAGTTCAGGGAGGAGCAAGAAGTTTACAAATCTGTCAAGAAGCTCCAATGTTCCAGGTGGCTCAGCAGGAAGAACCATGGCCAGATACAGTAAAGGCCCTGGGCTCAGATCTGGATCCTGACACAAGGACCTTGCAGTTTGATGCCCAGCCTGTGAGAAGACCTGTCCTTAGCACTGATAATAAGGCACATGGTGGTTGCCATTTAAAGCAACATTTAAATGGACCGAAAGGTCCATTTAATGGGCAGTATAGCCCCTGGGATAATGGACACCATCTTGGGGGGACAGTCCTGGGGTTTATTTACAAGAACATCATTTATTGTTGCCCCTAGCAGCTAGTCAGCTGCCAACTGTCATTTCTGCAATGCAGAGTTGTAAAGAAGACATTTTGCTTCATACTTTTCATATATAACCCCCGCTGTCATTTATACAACACTTTCCCTTCCATAACAATAAAATTACCAAAATGAAAAGTCTTGATGGTGTACCTCTTCTTCTTTTTATTTACTTCTGCTCCCATTTCTAGTTTGTGACTTTGAATTATTATTATTCTATATTTCATATAATAAAATAACCACTCTGATGATAAGTACCCATGCCTTGTGGTGTATTTTATACAGTATCTCATAGTAAGTGATCAGCATTTATCGCTCCCTGATCTTACTAAACTGCAGTCTGATTGGTTGCTGTGGGTTACGGCACATTATTGTACATTATCCAGACCTTCCTATATGACTCTACCTATGTATAAGGTATAGAACATTCTGCTCCTGAGCTTCTGTCAGAGAACTCTTAAAAATATATTTTGCCTTTTAGGTGATGAAAGGAAACCTTTCTTAAGAGAAACATTGAGGTGACTATTTCTAAGTTTTCGTTCTTCTAACACTAGTTGTCTGGGTGTCATGCTGATCCTCTGGCTTCAATACCCTTAGACACTAACCCGGAACAAGTATACAGATACGTCTGACTTTTTTCCGAATTTCCCGATCTTGGTGCTTGTTCTAGGTCAGTGATTTAGAAAATATGGAAGCTAAAGGATCAGCATAACATCCAGGTAGGTAGCATTGTCAGAAGAATTCAGCAATTTCTATAAGGAAAGGTAAAGAGAACCTCGGGTGTGGAATATGCTGTGCATCACGGAGTGGATTTTGCTGGATAATCAGCACTCTGTCCAAACTGTTTTGCTGCCCTACTTCAGCCAATCATATTAAACAGCTCGCAGGGGAAAAGTAGTGTTGGAGAAAACAATTGGAGAATGACATTGCGGATCTGGCTGTTGGCTGTAGAGCAGTTCTTATGAAAGACCATTTGATAAATTAAGGACTGCTGCGACCTAAAAAGAGAAATGCATGGCTGCCATTTATCTACAGCCATGACAGGAACAGAATTACTAAAATAATAGATCTGAAGCCACAAGATAAGTTGCTGTCAGCGGACAGAGTAGAATTGTCTTTTTTATTATCCGCTGAAAATAACGGTCATGTTTTGTAACCCATAGCAACCAATAGCCAGATTATTGATTGTTTATCTCTCTGATTGCTTGCCGTGGGTAGCTGCATGTTATGATTTATGTTTATTTTTTTTAATAAGTAATTTCTATACGGTTTGAATTGTTCTTTGTGTTCCACAATAATCGTGTCAATATTTGTTCTATTCACTTGCTTTATTTTTTTGAATTTATATTAATTCATATATGTAAGAAAATTTATGTTTGTGAATTCATTTGTGTTAATAATATTGCACAGTATCCTGGCACAGCGTAGCTGATACACCCAATTACCTCTGAAAGCCTTATAGGCTTGTATGTTAAATATGTAGTCAAACCTGTAAACCAATGTATGTAATGCTTCATTCCAACTATGTTAATAAAGTTTTTTTAACCTAGTAAGTGCTGTTCTTTATTGTAGGAAAGTTCAGACAAATGCCCTTGTTCGATACACACAACAAGCAATCAGCATTTACTTTGTTCCAGTCTGACTTCAGCTAAGTGAATTTTGATTGGGTGCCATGGATTACCGCTCTTAAAGGATCAGTATTTTTAGGTATATTTGGAGTCCAATGAGCTAAGTCAGCTCCTGGCTTCTTATATATTTTGGATACTCCAACATCATGATCTCTCTGGGATAATTTCCCATGTTGTTCCTGCCTAGGTGGATGCTTTAGGTTTTCCCACCCACCTTTTGTGTGCTCCAGCATTTTTTCTTGCATACTCCATATTATCCCTTCTATATATTTTTAAAAACCATTGCTGGAGATACTGCCACTGTTTCCTATGAGTGCATAGAGCAGAGTCCAGATCTGAGTAATCAGCCCTGACCATTTGCTTACAGCATATAATATTACTCAGCCTCACCATTTGCTTACAGCACATAATATTACTCAGCCTCACCATTTGCTTACAGCACGTGATGATTCTCAGCCATGACCATTTGCTCAAAGCACATAATGATACTCAGCTCTGACCCATTTGCTTACAGCCCATACTGATACTCAGCCCTGACCATTTGCTTACAGCCCATACTGATACTCAGCCCTGACCATTTGCTTACAGCACATACTGATACTCAGCCCTGACCATTTGCTTACAGCACATAATATTACTCAGCCTCACCATTTGCTTACAGCACGTGATGATTCTCAGCCATGACCATTTGCTCAAAGCACATAATGATACTCAGCCCTGACCATTTGCTTACAGCACATACTGATACTCAGCCCTGACCATTTGCTTACAGCACATACTGATACTCAGCCCTGACCATTTGCTTACAGCACATACTGATACTCAGCCCTGACCATTTGCTAACACATGATGATTCTCAGCCCATTTTCACACAGCACATGATGATTCTCAGTCTTGTCCCTGTCTGCTCATATAACATGTGAGTTTAAATCCTTTGTACCTGTGTGCATGAACAAAATGTTATCTTCAGTCTTTTGTCCGAAAGGAAATCACAGCAGAAAAGAGGAATTCATTGATCTAATACTGATGCCAATACACTCAGCCTATTTTAATCTGTTCGTGAGCAGGCATTTGCTGCTAATATTCAATACAGCAAATAAATGTTGGGTAATTTCTGCATTGAAAGGCACAGTGAGCACGCTTTATGTAAGAATGCTCATGAAAATGTAACGGCGCATTTGATGACAACTTATTACAGACAGCTAAATGGTGGAATAAAAAAGAAACTATACGGCTACAACACACAGCTATATGATTTTTATGTGTACATGCAAACCATTTATAGGATGTATGTAGATGGTGGATCTGCTAGACTGGGTACAATTGTTCTCTCAGCAGTGAAAAACGTTGCTTCTATAGCAAGGATCTGTATAGATTAGTATTGAAATCTGTATAGAAATACAGTGTAGAGCTACTTGTCCAAGTATCCTTCGGTGCTCTCAGGCTGCCAGGGTGTGCCTAGTGCAGGATGAACAGTGATGGTACTATATCATAAAAAATAATTATTAATATATTACTGCTTAGAGCTAAATATTAGGCACATAAAAAACACCAATAATGTGTTAAAAAAAATATGACATGTATTTTAAATGCAGCAACTATTAATAGCTTATTTGATTTGATGTCTACCTCTTGTAATCCTCTGTAAAGCAGTACTTAGACTGTGAGAGAGAGGGGCAGTGCTTGGGGCCAGTCAGATGTCCTGGGTGTGAATTAGCTAACAAGGAAAATGTGACATGAGAAAAGAGCAGAGACATGACCTTGTCAGCCTATTGCTGCTTCTTCACTGTCCAATCACAGGCTCGGGGCAGGGAAATGACTTGGCTGTTAGCTGCAGGAAAGGAAACGTTGCGTCACTAGGCTGGCTATGGTGTTGTGGATGTGGACATCTTAATAGAGGCAGGGCTCCACTCCCTCATGTCAAAGCCTCCTGCAAGAACAACTGTGAGCGGTGCAGTAGTGACATCTTAAAATCTCCTTTTTCTAGGAGGCAGCATTGCCTTAGATCTCACACTGCAAATATACAGTTATGAGGCTGTAGACCAAAAGCTGTTTTTCAGGAAGAATTCCAGACAGGGGTGTACATATTTCAGGGGGTTCTGCTTAGGCACAATTAACATTTGTAGATGTTCTCTATACAATAGCAACTCTTAATTGTTTCAGTTCAGTTCCATTTTTAACGTTTTTGTAACATAGTTAATATTTTTACCAACCTTTTAATGGACATTTGGAACTAATGAATGTCCATGTCTAAGGCTGGGCACACACCTTACAACCATCGCAAGACTTTTGTCTTGCGATGGTTGTAAGGTACTTTAAAAAACGAACGATCTGCCTATCTTGCATGGGCAGATCGTACTTGCGATGATCGCAAGCCACGCCCCTGAGGGGCGGGCTTCCGATGACCGCAATGCCGAACAGGCAGTGTGCGCTTGCGCACACCGGCCCGTACGGCTGTTATCGTACGGACATGCCACAAACCCGCCGAACGTCGTACGATGCTCGGCGGGTTTTCGAACATATCCGTAAGTTCAAAGTCGTGCGACCTTACAGTAGTAGAGGTCGCACGGCTTCCACACACCTTACGAAAATCGTACGGTCGCGGGATTTCCCGCGATTATCGTACGATTATCGTAAGGTGTGTGGGGACCTTAACTTACCAATGTGATTGATCAAAATGAGGAGCAATTGCCAAATATGCCTTCTGATTGAAAAGACAGGGAAGGAAGGTCCCTAAATGAACTTCAGCTAGATATTTACATTGCATATATAGCTATACCATGACATGGAGGCTGCATCCATCACTATTGTCACAACATAAAATGAGTTATTTTCAAAGATAAGTTACACCTTGTGGAGGTTTTTGTAAATCAGTCGGAGAATATTAAGTTAGTTCATAGCCAAACATTTTCATGGGTTTTGTTTGTGTGTGTGTTTGATTGTAAGTGGATAGGAGTCCCATCAGGTTTTCATTGCTGTCTGTGCCCCACTTGGGAGCTTCATCCTCTCTAGTGACCATTGTCTCTTGGACTGAAAGTGATGTGAAATCCAGACAGTTTTCCAGTGGGGACACCTGTTCTGGTGACAACTGTCTAAAATCCTTCCCTTTGGAAAACATTCCACACAATACATATTGTGGCTCCAGGACAGGAAGTAGAGGGAAATCTCACAAATGGGACATACACAGCAAAATTAAAACTGATGAGTTCTAACCACTCCCTACTCTTTCCAAAGCTAAAATAAGTCTACAGATATACTTTGTCTAGAACTGCAATATGTGGTATCTGCAGAAGACACCCTTATTTTATTTTTTTTGACAAACACATGCAAGATGCTAGTTTCTTTATAGACAGACAATGTTTATTTAATAACCAGCACAGTTAAATCATCACCCCAGAGTTCAGGCAGAAAGCAATAAGCCCCTGATAGTGCTGTAGACCCATCCCAGGATGGTAGAGATACTGGAATGCACTAAACAGCAACCTACCAAAGTCCTGGTTTCCAGGTGGGTCCCGTACCAGTGTACTTTAGGACCTATCTTTCATGCAGATGGTATCTCAGCCTACTTTAGGTCTCTTTCCAACTACCCAAACACTGAGCACAAAAATATATATATATATATCTATATAAACAAGCAGGGTAACATTAAGCAATGGTGTTGACAAATCTCTAGTTTTGATCCCTTCCCAGCATCATGATTCTCTGAATTCCGGACTGTGATTTCAGGTAGGCAAGCACATCTCTCCTTACTTGAGTGACTGGTGTACGGGGATGCCAACGCTTCACTGGGCGGCCATCGGGTCCAACTAGGAACTTCTCAAAGTTCCACTTGACATCATTGACCTTGAGGGGTTCCCAGAAAAGACGATTCTGTGGATTGCCAAAAAGGTCACCCACAGGGGGACAGGAGTTCTGGAGACAGAAGAAGTGTTTATTTAGTGATATGGGCTGCATCACAGTTCATTTTTCAGTATAACATTGGTGATAGACATGTGCGATTCGTTTTGTTCCGAATCGAAATTCGGAAGAATTTTCGTAAATTCGGACATTCGGATGTATCCGAATTCTGAATTACAGACATAACGAATGCAAACGAATCCGAATTTCCATTTCCGAAATTCGGTAGCGTTCGCACGAACGTTCGTTTCGTTTTCTGTTTGTATTCGTTTCTTATTCGTTTCGTTCGTTGGAGCACAGTGACATTAGAGAAGGAGAAAAATATTTTTTCCCCCTCAAATGTCACTTTTGCTGCAAACGAATAAGAAACGAATAAGAAACGAATAAGAACAGAAACCGAAACGAACGTTCGTGCGAACGCTACCGAATTTCGTCTGAATCCGAATTCCGAATCCGAATTGACTTTCACACCCGAATCCCGAAAAACGAAATAACACAAATCCGAATTTAAAACGAAACGAAACGAATTTTTTGGCAGTGCACATGTCTAATTGGTGACCTTTTTCCAAGTTGACCCCCCACAGTGAGAAATGTTATCACAGGTTTGAAAGGTATGGATGCGTAAATTAAAAAGTTATCCTTTAAAGCATACCCCCAGCCCCCTACATGCAGTCCACCTGGTCTGACCCTGGGTTTGACCATAGGTAGAGTTGTCCTTACAGGAAACGTATAGTGTATTTAATGAAAAGCAATGCCCTCAGAGGGCTTCCCATCCTTTATTTACCATGATTAATAGCCACATTGGGCAGCATAGTTGACATTTGTCTCAATCCAACATCTATTGGTCCCTACAGTTTTTTTTTGTAACTCCCTGCAATAGAAGATCAAGAATACTTACCATTCTGGTGGGCGGTGACTCCTATCTTCGCTTTTTGGCTGACGAAGAATCTTCAGCATTCAACACACTTCCGGTATCACTGCTCTCTGTGGTTCCACCTCTTGGCTGCTATGTCACTACTGGGTTAGTGATGCGAGAGCCAGCAGGTGGCAGGTCTGTAAGCAACTAACTTTAAGCCCCCACAAAGAATTCTTGGCACTCTTCCAAGCTGCCTGGTAACCTGTACTCTAGTTACTTCTACAATGCTACAGCGGTAGAGAGATACACAGAAGAAGGAATCTGCTTGTGCTTCATCAGTGCATATGTAAAGTCCTGAGATTTTGGACACCCTCTTGCAGTGCCCAGGTCCTGGACTCTCCCACAAAATCCAGGACACAGACAAAAAAAATTGGCATACACTTTAAATCTCTCAGTAGTAAAGTGATTTAATAGCTTGTGGAGCCCTAGGCTGATGTAACCGTTATGAGGGGTGACTTCCTGAAGTTAGAAAACATAAACAGAAGTGGATAGCACTTCTGCCTTGCAGCGATGAGGGTCCCCAGTTCGAATCCAGGGTCAGGACACTCAAAAGACATGCTGATAGGATAATTGGCTCCTGTCTAAATTGGCCATAGTATTTATCTGAGACCTCTGCAACCTCAGGGACAAGGAGTAATGTGAATGTACAATATGGAAAGCGTTGGGTAAATTGTTGGCACTATATAAATATAACAAAAAAGAAAGTACCTTCAAGAAGGTGTATATTTTCTGTTCTTTCTTCCCGTTAATGTCTCCTTTCTCAAATATCTGGAAATTTGGAGTGAAGCCACCACCAGGACGCACACATCTGTAGGAAAGGAAAAAGATACATCAGAATATTGAATTTGTTTGTATTATTTGTATTATGTCTAATTTATACTGTAGCCTTCATCACTGTTAGTAAGGGGGAGCAAAAAAGCATATTTATCAAGCTCAACTTGGTATTGTTTTTGAGGGTATATACTATATACGTGTGTATATATATATACACTCCTTGCATTGGACAAAAGCAACCAGCCAATCAACACTATCAAGTGGGGATGTCTCCTCTGGTCCAAAAGTCAAGTAAGGCTTTCCCTCCCCCTTTACTCAAGTTGTTGTTTAATACATTTTTATTGGTTTTATCAAGCTTACAATAAGAAGTATGGATGGGAACGATATGTATGAAGGGAAAAGGAGGGAAAGATAAGGACGCTGGGAAAGGGATTGAGGCTGGGTGGAGAGGATCTGGGAGGTTCAGGGATAGTTTAGGATCAGTTCTGGACCAGAAGGATAAGGGAGGATCAGGAATAGTTCTTATTCAGAATGAGAACTAGCCTCCAGACAGGAACAGGATAATGTAGGGTTTAGCAATTACCAGCACTCCCTCTTCCCTGTTGTATTTGTGAGCAAGGAATTGGAAGAGATCCAAAGGGTGGAGTTAACAAATGGGAAATAAGTCTGTTTTGTGGTGTAAACATTGGTGCATTTTTCATGCACCAAATTAAAAATGTTATAAGACAAATTCTATGTGATGTTGCACCAGCTGCGCCAAATCCCCCTAAAACCGCTATGCGATGGTTTCTACAAATGTCTGATCATGCGTGCCAAAATGATAAAGCACTTGCACCAATGTTCTCATTTTAAAGCTGTTCTAAAATACATACCAATACCAGAGTGGTGTCGAATCTGGCACACCACCACTATGGGACAAATTAACATATTTGTGTGCGCTACTTTTATTAAATTGTACATCAGAAATGTCACCAGCACACCAATGGATGATGTCCAAAATAAAGCATCTTTTATTCACGCATCTTGTCACATCAAAGACAGTGTAAGTCAATCAAAATAGCCAGAGTGGACTATTTTGATTGGTTTACACTGTCTTTGAATTAGAATATATGCTTCCTGGTTTCTTGCAATGATTGTCATGTTAAGCCTGATGAAGGGGACCCTGCGTGGCCCTGAAACGTTGCATTTTTGATGTGACAATATGCATGAATAAAAGACATTATGTCACGTTGTGTCACCAGCACACATTGACATTTGACATGCACCAATTTTCTTTACCTCCCGCCCGCGCCATATAGTCCTAGAACCTTTGGTGATAGCGCTTAGAGAATGCAGCGATACAAAAGGTGCATACTGTGGTGAACAAGAACATAAATGCGCCCTGTACTTCCATTTTTTTTTCCCCCCCCCCCCCCCCCCCAAGTTGTCAAAGAGTCCCTTTTAAAGGAATTTAACCATAAAATCCTTCTGTTGTGCTGTAAGTTTTTAAAAAAGCTTGATTAAAAAAAGGCTTGTAAACTTGATAACCCCCCCCCAAGTTGTCAAAGAGTCCCTTTTAAAGGAATTTGACCATATAATCCTTCTGTTGTGCTGTAAGTTTAAAAAAAAAAACAAAATGTGTGACCACAAGTTTGTGGATGTTATGATGGAGAGTATTGGTGTCCTCTAGGCGTGTACAATCACTTCTTGGTTGCTGTAAAAACGATATGCTGGAGAAATTTAAATTGGGTCGAGGTACACCACTTTGTGTTTTTATTCAGTAGAGACTCCAAGGGTTCCCTGCAAAATTTGAAATCCAGAATAGCGAATGCTGTCTGATAGACCTCAGACTGAAATATTTATACCTTGGGGCAGACCCACCAAATGTGAGAAGGTACCTTCTGCTTGACAGCCTCTGCATTGCTAAGCACCAGGTTATCTGAGTAGAGCTTAATCTGAAGATAATCAAAAATCTTCCCTGGGAGGAGGTCTATTGTAAGGATGAGAATGGTTTCATAACAGAGGATCGTAGAAGTTTGGATATACCATACATATTAGTTTACATTTGGTCCAATCACAAAATTATGTGGAATTTCTTTTTTCCCGGTTCAAACATAGGATTCCCTCTCAAAGTCAATAGAAGTGTCAGGAGAAAAGATCACAGAAGTATTTTGCATCATCCCACTCTTTCCAAGAGTGGGCAGTGATGGGGTAGTAACTTGTTTATGTAACTGAGAAAGCAACATAAGAGTGTTTACTGTTACAGGATTACAGAGACCCACCGTGGGGTTTCTTGCATGGCATGCCATACCGCAATTTGCCCTATTTGAGCTGCATAATTATATTTTGAAATGTGAGGTTAGCCAAGGCCACCATTTTTACTGCATTTTCTTTCATTTTTCTAACAAGCTGGAGATGTTCCACAGACAATAGCAATCTTGCAATCTCTTCTGAAGACTGGAACTCCCTTTTTACTGCATCCTAGGGAAGCCTCAACAAAGCCTCCAGAAAGCTCGAATCAGGACACAATGGAATCACCCTACACAGAGTTGGCTAATTATCCATGGTTACTTTTAGCGTTGTTAGACTAAAGGTGCCCATACACCTTACGATTATCGTACGATAATCGTATGCGATCGACTTTTCGTACGACAATCGTAACGTGTGAATAGAGTGCCCGACCGATAGTACTGTACAATCGGACGACTTTTGACGGTCAAGCATGTTTGAAAACTTTGGTCGATCGTACGATGTTCGCACGGTTGGTGGCGTTTCCGTCCGTCAAAAGTCGTACGATTAACACTGCTCATGCGCAAACGAAAATAATTGCGGTCAATTACTGCAAGTCGTCCAGGTGTTTTTTTTTAACTACCGCTGATTGAACCTTTCGATAATCGGGGCAGGATGGGGCCATCAAACGAAAATCGTATGACGGTTCGATCATCGGACGAAACGTTTCGTCTGATAATCGTAAGGTGTATGGGCACCTTTAGGTGTATGTCTACCCTAAAAAAATTAAACTTCTCCTATTTTTTCCCTTTTAGTCTGTTATATGTACTTGTTAAATATCCTCCAATTTCTTATCACAATCTAAAGAACTATTCATTATATTGTCAAGATAAAGGGGGGTTCAGTTGTTTAGCAAAATACCACTGGACAGGGCTGACACCCTTTCTTGCAAATCTAGTCCCCAAAATGCAGTGTGTTGTTAGCCCATAACAGATGAGTAGTAGCTGAGTGGGTTTCTGGTAGATCAGCAGGTATGTTTCTGTACTTGCCGGGTATTTAAAGGGACAACACTGAACAAATGTGCATGTTTTGCAAAATTGTACTGCCCATACACCTTACGACCATCGCAAGACTTTTGTCTTGCGATGACTTTTGTCTTTTGTCTTGCGATGGTCGTATGCTTCTTGAAAGCCCGTACGATCTGCCCACCTTGGACGGGCAGATCGTACTTGCGATCATCGAAAGCCCGCCCCGCTGAGGGGCGGGCTTCCGATGACGGCAATGCAGAACGGGCAGTGTGCGCGTGCGCACACCGGCCCGTTCCGCAGCTATCGGGCGAGCAGGCTAGAAACCCGCCGAGAATCGTACGATTCTCGACAAAAGACGTGCGACCGTACAGTAGAAACGGTTGCACGTCTTAGTTCACACTGCTCGATTCTCGTACGATCGCGGGATTTCGCCCGATTCTCGTACGAGAATCGAGCAGTGTATGGGCACCTTTACTCAGTGATTCCCACAGGTGCCTTTGTGCATCAGGTGGAAAAATCCTTATAGTGACAAGTATTCCCCACTTACTTTAATCCTTTAAGGATTTCTTCATTGCTTCCTGGTTCCTGTAGACCAAATTGATTGCAGGGAAAACCCAAGATGACAAACCCATTATTTCCCAGTTCTTCTTGTAGTGCATTCAGTTCTGAAATAAAGCCACAGGTGTAGTAGAAAATGTTATAGTTAGCTATAGGTTCCCTCATTTCACTTTGAAAATAAACCATAATCAAAATTGGGTTTGACTATTGGTGAACCACTGGCTTCAACACCTTGAATCACTGACCTGGAAGAGGTGTGAGGATCAGGACACTCAGAGGAACATCCATATGTTCTTATATGCATACTTATTCCAGGTCAATGACACAGAGTATGGTCAGCATGACAGTCAGGTAACAGGCAATTCTAGAAGTGATTTCAGAAATCGTTCCTGTAGTGGATATCAGTTTGTTGAATCACACACAAGCTTTAAATATAACTTTAAAACTCCAGCAAGGACTCTTCATTGTTTGGCTATACACTTTTGTGAAGGCAGCTTATTAATGTGGCTCTGGTTTTCCTTAAAAAAAAATCTGGTTTCCGGTAAACCTTTCTATTAAAAAAGTAAAGCTGCAAGCTGAATAAAATGCAGGTCCCTTGTTACGCCTGCACATACCTTCAGTTATGTTCAATAGTGCACCTGAAGCACTCATCTAATAATAATGCAGGTTATATGGAAGTTGTGACTTTGGAAAAGAAAAGTGAGGGCCACCACACAATGCTTTAGTTTTGCAAAATGATGGGTGGCCGCGATGTCAAACAAGGAATTGCAGGACAGGGTGCGCCAGCCCTCAACTTTTTTGGAAAAAGTCAACAGTTGTCTATTAGAGGCCACTTTAGGGCTCCTGAGCCGCTCATTGAAATAGCAAGTATGTGCAGTGGCTTGGGAGGACCTGAATTTCAATCATGCTGCAGTTTTTTTAATTCTTTATTTGTGATAGGTACATATAACAACAAAAACATGAACATAAATAGTGAGCTCCAGACGTAGCTGGATGCAATGGTGCTAGGGAAAAAAGTAAGATCGTCCACGAGCCATCCTTATTAACATAACATTGATCACAGTTATATACAACAAACAGCATAGGCTGAAACAGTGTAACAACTCATCACGTCAACTGAGGGATCATCACAAGCCCTGAGGCATCCACTCATTTCAGGGGTAAAAAAAAAACTCTAGATAAAAGGTGCAGCACCTCAAAAAAGTTTTTTTTTCCAAATAAGAGGTTCAGGCTCAAGCAAACCTAAATAGGAACCAGTTACCCCCTCTACTGGATAATAAAATAGATCTATTTTAAAGGGTATCACTAAGCAAAAGTCTGTTTTTTAGTTTTTGATGTAGAGTGGAACGGTTAGAGCCTTTTTTTTAAGGTTTTCATTGCGGTCTGTGTTTCCCTTAGGGGATTCACATCTCAAGATGTCCTGTTGAGCATTGTCACCAACACAGAAAATGAGAAATCCAACATTTTTAGAGTTACCGCCAGAACAAAAGATAAGTGGGAATCTTCCAGTAGGTGCACCTGTTCCAGTGACAACTGTCTAAAATGGGAATTCCCCTCACTTTAGGAGATATCCTGTAACTTCCTCTTGCGTCTCTGGGGCAGGAAGTGATAGGAAATTTTCCAGAAGCTCCACTGACAGAAGAAAATATTCTGACAGGTAAACCATCCCTACTTTTTTTTTTTTAAATGGCTATATACAGACAAACTCCACTAATGATAATAAATAAAGCTGTAGCCTAGTATTCCCCAAAGCCCCAGTCTTTGTTTTTACCTTGGATTCATTTAAACTGTTATTTTTAACCAGCTTGTTCTAACATTATGATCCCCTCTGGTCTGACCATTTTTTCTCTGCTGCAGACTTTACTGCCTCTCTGGAGAACTATATACAAGAAGCAGAGCAATGCAAGAAGCATTATAAAGCAATAAGGATTTTCTTGCCACATTTTCAGCTTGTACTGGAATACACATTCCCACATCCTGTTGGCATCATATCTTTTGATTTCAGGGATAAGCCAAACAATAATGTGATGTCGGTATATTTGCCACTACCAGCCTGTTCCCAGGATCTTGTTGACAAAAGAGAGTTCACTGTGCATCTGTATAACCTTACTAAATATTTGCTTCCAATCTGAATACAATTCCAGGGAAAGTGAAATCAGTCCAATCACAAGGCTGACCATAAAACCCTACTATAAAATGTATAAAATATTTCCAGTAAAATATAAGAACTGAACCTTTACTTCTAAGTAATACAAAGAAAAACAGATCATGGATAGAAGTCAGGCAAGATCGAGGACACTATGGAGAGCTCCTAGACAACCAATGACTGGTGGTCAGACTACTAACTGTCCTTGTGAATATTGGTGACATTTCATTATCCCCCACCCTGTCTAAACAGCCCAATTATTCGGTTCTTCTCAAAGCTTCCTTTAAAGTCAGCCTGTCAGGAGCGAAACATAGAGTCTGCCATTACTGACTTCTTATTCTGTGTGTGTCCCTACTTTGATTCTGATCCCTTTGCCTAAATGAATGTTTTTACCGAGAACAAACAGGCAGACAATGACTTGATTTTTCCTGATCTGCCTACTTGTATCTAGTCATTGATGACTTGCCTTCATACGGTATATCATGAAAAACCGTGCAAGCAGAGAATTGCCTTCAGTGAAAACCTGCTTGCAAAATCAAGCTTGGATGCCATCTCCCAGCCCTTAGTCTTCGTAATTGAATTGAATTCATCTACTCATCTTAAAGGGTCAATGGGGAGGTGAGAATGCGCAGGGCCATTCAAAACCCATTCCAGTCCTGGTGACAATAAACATGGGCTTACCATTTCTTCAATGCAACTGAAACCTTAAAAAGAGTAAAAGTTTGGCTTTAAACCTTTTCTCTAATGCCAAAATAAGGATCTCTCATTGTTAATGATGGGCAAAGACATTCCTGCCAATAATTAAACTGCACTCTCCTGCTTTCCTTCTTTCATATAGAAAACTTAAACACTTCATTAAAGTGGACCTACAATTGCAAATTTAATTTCCCATAAAGCAATAGGCCCCATATCAGCATTGCCAAATCTCTTTATTTTTTTAAATTACAAAGTACCTCTTGCTTGCTGTAGACAATATATTCTTTTGCTGAAATGGGCATTGTGTGCGCTTCATGTCATAAGAGTCTGCAGAGAGCCTGTTTTCGGCAATGAGACTGATCCTGTCTGCTATACATACAGTTTGATATGAGGAGCAACAAAGGGCAACAAAGAAGCAGAGATGCAATGATCAAATATGTACATATATAATAATTTTTATAGGAGTGCTTGAAGTGGAAGACATAAGTAGTCAGAAAGGCATAAGTTAAGTGGAAGACGTTAGTATCAGGGAAACTGTCACACCTAGAGCGAAATCAGTTTGGGTGATAGACAAATTATGGCTGCTAATTTTAGCTTTTATAGATCTTAGGTAGCTAGGTAGATTCATTCCTGAATTTGGGTATGACATAAATGTACAATTTCAATTCAATGGCTGCTGATTACCACAAGAATGGGTAATATTTATTGCATTTATTACAAAATCAGTTTATCATATTGGTAAACTTAATGTGAACCTGTACTTTGGACTCAGCAAATTAACTTAATAGCACATAGTGGCACCACAAGCTGTTCGTAATAATTTCCCACCAACGCGCTGATCTGCCACCAAAAACCCATTACTTTCATGTATGGGGGAATGTATGACACTATTCTGTTTCCTAGAGTGTAGTGATGGCTGTCTAAGTGGCCATCCACCAGGCCTGAGCGCAGTCACATAAAGACAACAGGGAATGTGCATTGCCCTAAGCAAGTTTTGACTTGATATTAGAAACTTGTTCAGGAATGTGTGGGGGCTGCAGCAGCAGATATAGGTAGGGAAGGGAACCACAAACTTCTAGTATTGCCTGTATTTAAGTAAAACTTTTACTTTGTCTAGTCCAGGCACTAAGCATTGCATTGGGTTTGAAACAACTGCACATAGCTTACCTAGGTACTGCATGGTTAACCCTCAGTAAGTGGCCACATTCACAAACAGCACAGTCTTCCCCTGATATTGCTTGAAGTGGACGAACTGGCTTTCGTCTATAGTGAGGGCACCATAGTCATAGATGGTTCCAGCCACAGAGCTGTAGCAGTCAACCTGAGACAAACAAATATGAAAAATAAAATTCTAGTTGAACATAACAGAGATTTTAGGATACGGTGATGAAAAAAAAGGGTAAATGGAGAAAGAAGTAATCAGTTTCCTCTACCCCAGTGATGTAGAACAATCCCCTACATAGTGTAACAAGTTTGTATCTTCTATATATTTTATATCTTCTATATTTACACTAGAACTTGAGGAACACACAGGTTCCAAACATTATAAAACGTAGGTGAATCAAGGCACAATCGGATTTCTAATTTCACCCTTGTGGATTGGCGACCTGCTGGCATTCACCCCTATTCTTTGCAGGACTTGTAAGAGAGATGGTGTGCACAAGGTATTAATGTTGACATATGCTAAAATATTCATTCGCAGTGAATTGAATGTGCAGCAAATGTGGACTGAGTTTGAGTGTTGGTGGGTGAGGAGTACATAGTTAGTCTGGTTGAAAAGAAGACACATGTCCATCTAGTTCAACCTATAGAGATATGAAAAAAAAGAAAAGCCTAAACAGAACACAATGCACACAATTACCCCCTGTTGATCCAGAGGAAGGCAAAAAAACCCTATAAAGCATGGTTCAATTTGCTCCAACAGGGGAAAAAAAATTGTTTCTGATCCCATAAGGCAATCGGATCAACAATCTCTGATGCTTAATATACCTATAAGAACTCTATATCCAGTAATATTCTGTGCATTTAGGAATACATTCAGATTTTTTTTAAACAATTAACTGAGCTAGCTAGAACTAGCTCCGGGGGGAGTCTGTTTCACATTTTCACAGCTCTAACTGTGAAGAATCCTTTCCGTATGCAAAGGTTAAACCTCTTTTCCTCCAGACGCAAAGAGTGCCCCCTTGTCCTTTGCAGTGACCTTAAAGTGAATAATTTGGCACCAAGCTCACTATATGGACCATTTACCGTACGTGTTTATTCATGGTGATCATGTCCCCCCTTAATCGCCTCTTCTCCAGAGAGAACAAATTCAGGTCAGCTAATCTTTCCTCATAGCTGAGCTCCTCCATGCCTCTTATGAGTTTCATTGCACTTCGATGCACTTTCTCCAGTTCCATAACATCCTTATTGTGAACTGGTGTCCAAAACTGAACTGCATATTCCAGATGAGGTCTTACTAATGCTTTGTACAGGGGCAGGATGATGTCTCTATCTCTGGAGTCTAGACCCTTTTTAATACAAGAAAGTATTTTGCTTGCTTTAGAAACTGCAGCTTGACATTGCATGCTAATATTGAGTCTATGATCTACCAGAACACCCAGATCTTTCTCCACCATTGACTCCCCCAAACATGCTTCCCCTAGCGTGTATGACGCATGCATGTTTTTAGTCCCCAAGTGCAGAACTTTACATTTATTAACATTAAACCTCATTTGCCAAATTGATGCCCAATCACACAGTGCATTCAGATCTGCCTGTAAGTTGGAGACATTCTGTAAGGACCGTATTCCACTACATAACTTGGTGTCATCTGCAAACACAGAAATAGTACTTTTAATCCCCGATTCTGTCATTCACAAATGGATTAAACAGTAAGGGGCCCAACACTGAACCTTGGGGGGACACCACTAACAACCTCAGACCATTCATAGTATGAATCATTGGTCACCACTCTCTTAATACAGTCCTTCAGCCAGTTTTCTATGCAATTACAGTCCTCTGTCCAATGTATTACTCACTTCCTCATAAAAAGAAATTAGGTTAGTTTGACAACTTCTGTCTTTTGTGCTGATTATCGCTTATGATATTATTTTCAAGCAAAGACAAGTGCATGTGATCCTTGATCAAACTTTCAAGTATCTTCCCAACTATTGAAGTTAAACTTATAGGTCTGTAATTACTTGGTAAAGACTTTGATTCATTTTTAAATATAGGCACCACATTGGCCTTGCACCAATCCATTGGTACCAAGCCAGTCATTAGAGAGTCTCTAAAAATTAGATACAATGGCTTTGAAATTATACCACATTATACCACACAGGAAGGACAAGATGCTTGCAACTTTGAAGAATCCATTTATTTATTTGAATAAAAAAACAACAGGGGTACAGCATGTTAACTTTAAAAAAAATACAAAAAAGGTCACAAGCACTCCAGCATGAAGAAAAGTCAATGTTTATTGACTTCACAGGTGTCACGTCCTCAGAGGTGATGATGTGACACCTGTGAAGTCAATAAACATTGACTTTTCTACATGCTGGAGTGCTTGTGACCTTTTTTGTATTTTTTGGACTTATTTTGCGTAGGCATCCGCGGTCATTTCAGCACCCACCCTACAATTAGGGTTTTCTATCCGGTCAGGAGTGCGATGGGTGTGTATGCTTTTTGACCTAGTAACTTTACTGACCTTTTATGTGATGTCCACATAGCCCAACATTGAGGTATTTAAAATAGAACTATGGCCTCCCATTAGAAAATATGTGCTGCAGCACGTTATTCTAAGTACATGTGCACTTACAAGTGTAAGGCCCCAATCAGGTCCGCCTGTCAGTTTTTCAGGCAGGGACCCGATCGGATGCCCAATGCAAGTCTACAGACAGCCATGTGTAAACGGACGAGCGTCTGTTTACACCCGGTTACCCCCAGCTCTGGCTGGTTCTGAAAAAACACCAGACCGGATGTCTGTTTACATCAGATTCCCCATAGACACACATGGGGTCTGGCAGTTTCAGTTTTTTATGGAGGAAAAAACTGTACAGACACCGATGTCACAGCGGTGATATCCAATCCGTATTGCTCTGATCAGGAGAGGATCTGTGCACAGATCCTCCCCTGATCAGCTCGTGTGAAAGGGGCCTAAGTGTTGGCATGAATAAACTCAAGTATGCATGCACAGGACTTACATCATCCTGGCCAGGCCAATCAAGATGGCCAAAGATTTCAAACCTGGAAGAAGTTGGTGAGAAGATATTGGAGGGGAGGGGAGTATAGTTCTGCTTTTGGCTAGTAAAATTAAAAAAGCATTTTTGTTTTGCACACTTCACATTTACATGTTGACTATATTGCAAGAAAAGGCTGAAAATGCCAGTTTCCCTCTCCTCCGTCCATAGACCAGTGACTAGAAGAGTAGGACAAATTCTCATTCTACTCTCCTAGTTGAGCTGTTAATGTCCAGAGTGGGTGAACTATAAGTATACAACTTGTTGTTCCAACAACAAAACTGTACGAACTGTGGAGGAACAATGAGGACTTTGCTTTGCTTGAATTGCTTTTGCAAGAAGGGCGGCAGTCTGGAACCTTTTATTATACACTGTCATCTATTACTGACAGTCAGCAACATGCTCTGTAGGTGGTTGTGTGCTGCCTCTGGAAGTTCTGCTGCCGTATTCCATGGCCTATTGTGCCTAGGCAGAAATATGGCCGTGTTTAGAATCTCTGTTTAGTTGTTGCTTTCTGTGTCCACATCCACATGTGGCAAGATTTTTATTACATCACCAGAAGAGGAAGTGGTGGGAAATCTAACAGTGATACAGACAGCTATAAAAACCCAACAGGGATTCTAACTTTTTCCCATAATATCCAAATATTATGGATATATTTTATAATATATACATCATATAAAAACAAAAAAAAACTGTAGAATATTTTAAAGCAAATCTGGGCATCTATTAACATCAGCTGGTGAACTGCTAACCAAGAAATACTATAGTAAAGTAATAAAATTTGCTGAGTTTTCCTTCAGTGTGACCTTCCACTCTATCCAAAACTTGAAAAAAAAATATTTGCTTCAGTTGCACTTTGATATCCCTTTTATATCCCTTTGATATCTCCGTTATGGGTGCATGCATGTTGGCTGTATCAACCACTGACTTCATATTCCTCTTGAAGATTCCAAGAACATCCCCCTAGATTTTATATATTCTCTTCCACACCACTCTCTCTCTCTCTCTTGATCTGCTGTCCAACCTACAGTATGTCAGTACCCAGTGTAGGCTAAAGGCTAAAGTTGACTGACAATAGACGGGTGACCGTTTCTTTTCTAGTTTTCCTAGCTAGGATGTCAGCTGTGTTTACAAAATGTCACACTTAATGGAAACTTTTTAGCACAGCTGTGTTACCTTTGACCACCAAGTCCCATCAAATGCTGGGGCTGCCACTGCTCGACTCTGTATGGGGCTAGTTATAGCATGGATAATGTTTTCAGCATCACAGCACTAAAAGTCCTGAAAGGTTGCCTTCAAATAAAAAGTATATAGTCCCAGTACATCCTGAAACGTTCACATTTCTGTAAGAATTATATTTTAAAAACTATTTTACATGCCAATGTGTAATGTATATTTAATAGTATTTTCAATACTGTAGCTGTAGTGTTAAGCTAGCTTAACATAAATCCAAATATGCTGAACCAAAGCACAGCTGTGTATTCAAGCAAGCTTAGCAGCAAATTAAGGGGCCTTTTTAATAAAGCATTAATGCAGAGTAGAAAGCCACCCACGGCTCCCTGCCGTGACATAAAAATCATTTTATGTCAACTGCCACTATCTGATGTTATGGAAAATAGACGTTTTAGATTGTATAGAATCCAGTTGCTTATGAGGTTTTGTTTTCCTGGTATTTTTAACAAGCAGCAGATGTTGTTTTTCCTCTTTTTTTTGTCCAACGAGAAAAATGAGAAATATTTCACCCAGCTGACAGGGAGCTTGTAGCTAGCTTAGAGAGTTGTAGAATTTTGTAAACAGGATGCTGGAACAGACACTTACGTTGTGGTATATTTTGCTGTCTGGTTGTCTATATTTGTAAAGACACAGAAGATAGGCTGATCATAGATATGTGAGGTCGGTATTTATCCAAAAACTCAGCCACACATATAAACATGGATTGGCCAAGAGTGCATTTTTATGGTATGAAGGAAGGTGAGCCTCTGCCAGATTTGGGGGAGGGGGGTCACCTTCAAACAAACAGCAACCGCCAGCAAGATTTTCCCCAAAATCTGTAATTTGGGGATCTTATTAGACATGGACATAAAATTGTTGCCTGATG